CTTGAGTTCATCTCATGGTGTGTCCGACTTCGATGCGTGCGGAGAAGCAAGCAAAACCCGTCCAACCAAGAGAAAAAACCCGCCCACGTAATTCTTGCTCCCCCCCCCCATTCTCATCATTGCAATCTCCACATCTACCTGGCGCTTTCACACACAACACATTCCACCCGTATCTGCGCACCACGGTATCGAGAATCGCCCCATGAGGCGGGTCGACCTAAGCCGTAGCCAAACGTAATTATGACCGCATATCGTGATTCGATTGGAGAATGCGGAGGGGGGAGGGGGGGGGGTCCGAGGAAAACGCCGAAGGGGTCGCAAACATGCGTTCATGATGATGGAACAGACTAAAGTTGTTGATCGTCGGGCACACGGCTAGATTAAGACGTGGCCCACCGTACTCCAACAACACACACTTAGCAACAACAACCGGCACGATCTACATCCAGCTTACATGATGGGAGAGGAATCCTCCTTCTTCACGGGATGACCCTCCTCATCTTCCATGCCGTCGGGGTATCTGGCCGACGCTCCCTTCTTCTTCGGCGGTTCCTTGGCGGCCACCAGACTGTACCTGAAAACAGGAGAAGTCGTTTCGATCCAAACACACGTATGTTTTGTTGGAGGTTTGGATGACTTGTTGTCTCGCTTTCGCTGGGTTGTGAAGTCAGCCCTCTGTCCACCTGTGATTTGGATCGTCATTCGAATCACCTCCCCGAACGAGGTGCTCCGATAGTTTTCTTTTTGTCGTTTTGCTTTCGTTCAGATTTTGGCTCCAACTTTGCTGCTTTGAGTCGACTCTGTACGTTGATTGTGGAGATGGCAGCATAAGAAACACATTTGGGGCTCTTGTTTCTTCTCTCTCACTCGCATGGATGGGAGGTATATCAGCATTTCTTAATCCCTTTGCTCGACATTCCCGAACAGACCATTCCAGGTATTCCATCACCAATGTCTTGACAAAACAGTTTAGAGTGTCGGGTCTCCCCCATGTTACCGTTCCCAAGTCGTCTTCCGAACCGAAGATAGATACCGTTATGTGCTCATGGTGCTAAATGTCGTTTTATGACTTGTAAAGGTGATCAACGAGTGGTCAAACTTCCATCAGTCCGGCACCCAGACGGACCGCATCATGCATGTGTGTTTAGTAGACCCCGAGCGATGTCTAGAGCGTGGGTGATACTTGTCACCAACAAGAGACGCTCTGTCACATTTGGACATCGCCACGGCTAGACATATCCTTAGTATGTGACAAGACAAAGGATTAGTCTTCCTTTGTAGCATGGGAAAAATTATGACATTGTCTTTAAGCTATCCTCTCTCTTAGGGCAGTTCAGCAAGAAGAAAACGACTCCTGGAGAATAAGTTGAGTGCCAATGTGTGCCTCGAATGACGTGTATGTATCTAGAAACTCCCCGTGTATCTGCTCCTTGTTCACGTAAAAACGTGTCCACGTGTGTACATCGTCCTTGGTGATGGAGCTCGACCTCGTTTGTCTCCCACATGTTCATCGGCCCACTGCACCATCTGGGCTTGCTTTTGTTTTGACTCACATGTATCTCGCGTTGTCTTCTGTGGACTCCATTTCCTTGGTGTACCAAGCGTACGCATCGGTGATGAAGTTTTTCACCTTCTCGTTTCCCTCCGGCCCGGCGCACCGGAAGGTGTAGTCGACAATCGTCGGCGGGGGGCCCCGGGAGTAGCTCTTGGACGACGCCTCTGTCTCGGGGAGCTTTTCGACGTCCTTCGTCTAGAGAGACAGACAGAGAGACAGAGAGATAGAGGTGCGTTTTTAGCATCGACCGCGATAGCCGGGCGGTCAACTTAAAGACGCCAGGCTCAGTGCGGTTGAAAACACGAAAGGCGATGGTCCGGGGGACGATAAGCTACTGTGTGAGAGAACGAGGGGGAGAGAGAGACAAGAGGCAGGGAGAGAACGAGACAAGAAGGGAAGATCACAAAAATGAGGCGCAGCTGGTGGCGGCGGAACGGGGACAACGCAGCAAAGAAATGGCTTGGTTGGTTGGTTGATTTCCGGCTTCAAAGGTGACGTATTCCGAAGCATATTTGTTTCCAATCCAAACGTGACGTTTAACGCTATGCCATGTACGTGCACGAGGTATGTATGTGGTTTCCCATCGCCCCTTCGCATCCCCTGCGGCGTGTAGTAGTAGCGATTGAGCAACGTGCGGGCAGGACGTCCGCAAGTGTTGTTGCACTGCTTGCAGAGCTTCCGAATGGGCTAGGCTGTACTTGTATATGATGGAGAAAACATAAAGTGGATGAACATACCGCGAGCGAGGTGAGCGTCCCCTGTTCCCGTTTGTACCTCCGCAACAACAAAAATAGCGAGAATTGCGTCTTCCGGCCAAACGTTCGGGATGGGGTGGACCTGGGTAAATTCTGAAAGGCTAACCAACATGTATGTGTACGCATACTCAAGAAAAACCCGCTCTGAGATTTCATGGGCAGCACCTGCTTAAACCAGACGCCGTTCTCCTTGTCCACTTCCACCCAGATTTGCTCCGGGGGCGCGATGTTGATGCTGAAGCGTTTCAGCTGGTCGGCGGAGCCACCGTACACCTGTGGCGTTACGAGTACAAGAACCGACCACGGTGAGAGAGAGGGAGAAGGAGAGAGAGAGAGAGACAAATGACAGATGCCCCAAGATTAGACTCATGCCTGGATTGTGCTCGAGTGAAGAGACAAGCCGGGACGAGAGCGACAATTATCAAATACATGCGTACGGCAGGCATTGCCAGATCCACCTCGAGACTTATCACACCGGAACATGGAGGAGCAAACAATCTGGTGTGTTGTTGCCCTTTTTGACTGCCGAGATGAAAGCGCTGCACAGATAGACCATGTCGTATCTGTATTGACAACCCATAGATCTTTATCGACTGGAAACACTCGCGCTATTCCTGCCCCTGCTGCCCTATTCACCCGTGTGTTTGTACCGCCTGGGCCAGGCTACCACCAGCAACAATATCAAACGCCCGTGCGTTTCGTTGCCTAGAGGAGGAAACACCCATGGCAGTCAACATATTCTGCTAACAACAAGGGCCGCTCACAACAAAAGGCACAGAATACGTCACACTGACTGGTGGTTTATTGAAGCAGCAGCCGCGGGGGAGGGGAAGCAGAAGCGGCAGAAGACACACTCTCATTGACGTAATGGACAGAGCGAGCTGATTGACCCCATTGAGGTCGGGAACAACGATACCAGCGGGGTCATCCACCGTGGAATTTGTATGCACGTTTCTTGGACGAACGGGAACAGCTGAACCACGAGCAGGTCCCCGGTTTGACGGACAAGTGGCCCAACTGACCTTAGGCACCGGCCTCCCGTAGCAATCTTCGTCATCCCCCTTGGTCGCGGCGGTGCTTCTGCTTGACAGTGTTCTAAAAAGGCCAGAGATCTCCGGTAGTGGACCTCGAACCGTTCACCCCAACAAAGCCGGAAGGGAGCACGCGACAGAAGAACGAAAGGAGGGGACAGAAGGGCGTTTGGTGAGAATTCCACGTGAACCCTCGCTACTTTGCCTCTTTTAGCATGATAGAGAATTATGTCTTGTCCGGTGCCCCGGTACTACTCTTCACGCTCAAAGGTCCACCAAGAATACCAACAAAAGAACTGCGGTGCCGCCTTTGACGAGTGCTGGCGGTGGAAAGAACGGCATACCAGGCACATGTCGTCTCTGTCTCTCCATCAACACACAAAAGAAGGTTGTGTGAAAAGAAGGAATCGACAAACAGATGTTCGGGCGATGTGATACCCTTCATGGAGGGGATTTCCACAGTCAGTCGTGAAGACAAGAAGGACAAAGAACAGAACGCGCCCCACGAAGGCTCCACCCTCTTTTGTCCACACATGCGACTGTGCATTACATTATTTGCTAGACTATTGGTACTCTTATTGAATCGAACGACACGACTCACGTGTCCGATGTAGAGCAGGATGGCCTTCTGCAGGATGTTGTTCCTCTTCCCTTCCTCGGAGTCCTCGACCGCCTCTGGTTGCCCGTGGTAAAAGCTCTCGCGGTCCTAGCGGCGGCAGCGGTGACGGCGGTCGTCTACAAGAACATGGTGAGCCTCAGAACAATAAGCCTCACAGACACGTCCAAACGCGCACGCAGACTGTTCGCTCTCTACCCCCCTCCCTCAGCGAGTTCTATCGTCAAAGGACTTCAACATGCATGATCATGAGCAACCCCCCACTCCCTCCAACGCGAAAACAAGGGGACCACGGTCGAAGAATGCAAGCGTGCGGCGGCGTTGCGTTTCGATTTTCGATTCGCTGGAGAGGAGACTCTACGGCCTGTCGGCTTTCTCGTGGAGTTACGTTTCTAATGATCGACTCACCACCCACCCTCCTGCATTCCTCTGCCCCGTTCACACTACTCACGAGACTACTTACTCACCGGTTTCTGGAACCTGATGGTCGTCTCGTAGGTGTTCCCCAGCCTGTAGAAGAAGGTGATGCCGCTGGCTTGCATGTGCTGCTGGATGTGGTGCCAGTTAGCCCTGACTAGGGGGATGCCCGCGATGAAGACGGTGTATACGGCGGCCGTGGCGACCGCGTCCTTCCAGGCATCGCCCGAAAGCCTCTTCGTGAGGCTTCCCTGGTACAACAACACCACCATGCATGACGATGACATGTGTTTACATAGTTCATCAGTGATGACGCTGATTGATATCGTGGCGTTTGTTTTCTCTTCTTGGCTTGCCTTCATCTGCAGCTGGTGTACCTGGTAAGGAAGAGTACAGGGTTTGTACACTGGTATGTCGATGTTTCTGGCTCACCCCCGGCCAGGCTTACTTTGACTACTATATAGCAAAAACGAGCACCGAGGGGCGTGGAGGATGCGCTTGTGTGTGTGGCAGCCCACAAAAACTCACGACAAAACCTACCGAGATTCTGTACATGAATAACCGTAAGATATCGACTGTCTATATGCATGCTGCCAAGCTAGCTGTGTTGTTGCCCCAAGGCTCTGGTCTCACGCGGAGATTGTTACGAACAAGGGTCTCAGAGTCTCTATTGTGGCGCCCAGTTGTGAACTAAACAAACATATCCGGCACGCTCCACAGCCCTCCGAAAAGCAAACGTGACACTACTTTTCCTTCGTTGCTCTTCTCTGGCTTGACATCACAGAGGAAATACAGCAGTACGTCTTACCGTAACCTTGGAGGATCATGTCACTTGCTCTACGGGCAGGTATCCACATAGTCTATGTACATCATCGCCTATTATTGTAGATACCACCACCTCCGCCCAACGGACCCGCCACCACAACAGCAAAATTTGCTCAATTCCCAAAATCCTGGCTGGCTTTCGAACGGTCAAGCCGGGGATGCATCAGTCGGTTTTCGCAACTTCTCTCTCTCTCTCTCTCTCTCTCCCTCTCTCTCTCTCTCTCTGCTTTGAAATGGGGGTCAAAGGGGTGGTGGCATGTCGAGGGGTCCGCACACAGATCGATTTGTCCGCAATTTACGTTGGTTGTGTCCTGTTCGGGGGCAGCGGGAGCATCGGAGGACAGCTCGAGCCACGCAGGCTGAAATCTACAAGCGCTGCACAACGAGAGTGCCAGGCGGGCCACACGCGTTGAATGTGTATCAGTCGCTCGCGCAGCATCACAAACAGCTTGGCTGGTCTGCTGCAAAACCAGCACACTCGCCCGTAGCAGCTGTTATGCATGCTTGCAATGCATGCGGCAAAAAAAGGTAGAGGACACAACACTACATGTTACTCATATGAACGATATACCACAACAGCAAACCACGTGACTCGAGCCTCACATGCATGCGGTTGCCCTCCAGCTTCATCAACGTATTGATGAACTCCATGTTCACGATACACGAGTGAGAACTGCGCGTATTGTACTGCTGTAGTACGGGCCGATGCCGTATGCGCAACCCGAATCTCGCCGCAGATCAATCTGTGCTCTTGATGAAGGAGGAGTACGCTGGTAGCTTTGTGTCTCGTGGAGAGGCCTCTTGTGCAAAGCTGGTCGGTGCGATGTGCTCAGCAGAAAGACTTGCCGGACCACTTGCAAAGCGGCCTGCTGCTGTTCTGCCCGTAGAGGAGGCACGCTTGGTTTGTGGTCGTGTGATGTGCTGTGGAAAGTTCGCTCTGCAATTATTATTGCAGAAGGTGAAGAAAAGCAGGAATGGTCCGGAGATTCTTAAGAACCGAAGCGGACGCACGCAGTTGTAGTCTACGCAGCAAAATTGATTAAAAGTCAACATTATTTGGGATAAAGTGTTCAATCCGTGCTTTGGGTTTAGGGTTAGGGATACTCTTAAGATCCTGTTCGACGCACGGAAGGTTATGTACATAAATCAGGTGGACCAACAGACCAACGGATACATACTCTCTCTGTGTGTATGCGTACAGAGGTGCTGCGAGCAGAGATCGGAACGGGTTTTCGTGTGTGGCAATTAATCTCATGGCATCATGTTTACTGTCAACAGCCTGCCGACCGTTAGAGAACTTCATCCTGGCTGGGTCGTTGACGGCAACCCCAATAAAATGTACAAGTTTACAAGATGCGATAATAATAACTTCAACCGCGTCGCATGGAACAACGCATGCCATCACAGAACACTTAATTATTATTAGTGCTCAATATCGACCGTAGTACTGTATCGTACCGAAGACATCAACAACACGTGACACCGGAAAACCACACACTCCCACAATCAGGCTCCGGCGTGGCATACCCCCCCCCCCAAAAAAAAAAAAAACACGTAAAACATTCAAGACCATTACTAAAAGCGCAGTAGGGTTGGACGCCCGGCCGACGCAAGTACAAGACGAGCCCATGGCAACCAACAACCCCTCACACGCACGCGCAAAAGGTCGGGACCCGGATTCATCGCCCCTTCTGCACTCACTCTCTGGTTTCCCCGCACTTTGCTTTTGTTTAGACGTATTTTGTGGGGGGCGAAATTATGCATGTCTCGCCGAGCACAGGGATTCAGTGTCACAGAAAAAAAAATCGAAGCACAACAACATCATGCTAACAGCACTAACTCCCAGAAACGCCAACATCCAGCGGAGTCGAACTCCTCGAAGAAGGAAGGCTTGAACCACACACTGTGCACACAGCAACGCCAATAAGACACATCCAAAACAACCATAATCCCGAAACTTCTGAACGAACATCCACAAGGAACTATGTCGTACCATCATCAGCACATACTATATGTAGCGCTCGACTATAATATATATATATCAGCAAGATACAAATTCTTTCGGCCAGACAACAACTAACATATACACGAACACATCAAGAATACGCAACACGTTGAACTGATGCGTCGACGTTCTCACCACCATATTCTCACCACCATAATATCATATCTTCAGCGGGTCACTCGCATAAAAAAGCACCACAAGACGTTGGAACACTAGATACGGCAACAGAACCCAAACGACGGAAGACACGCACACACACCAACTGTAGACGATTTCTCAGTTTTTCTTTCATCGAATATGTACAGTGAGGGGGCCCCCGAAAAGCCATGGGGGTCTGGAAACAATCGAGCGGGGCTCAGATGTAGCGCGGTCAAAATCTCCCCTTACAGGGCTTTGTTGACAAAACTGAAACCAATACCACCATATCCATCCCTCAATGCGAGCAGCGCGGGGTCTGTCCTGTACACCACAAAATAGCGCGGATGATGCATCTTCTTGCCACAATACCGCACTTGAGCAGTCGTAGTCTGTGGATGCTCTTGTCGAGCTACAATACTAGACTAGTCGACTAGGACTAGGAAGGAGGGCTTCACCTTCTCCACAAAAGCCGTGGTTTGCCTCCCTCGACAGACAGGTTCTCAAAAAAATGCCTCAAAGAAACACTCGTCAGGAAGAATCACCCCCGTCTGTCCCTCCAAAAGAAATAAAAGTCCGCCCGCACCTCGCAGCAGTAAACACCTATTATACGCGCCCCCCAGCCTCCGAAACGGGTTATCTTGCGACAAATATTGAAGAGAATGCCCGGTCGGGAGAAGCACCGTATTGTGTCCGTATTTCACACACACACACCTCTGTTCGACACACATCCCGCCGTCACGCACGCGCGCGCGCAACCGCAAACGATCGCCCGTCGGCAGACCTAAGAGGACAACAGCAGCGAGACACTACCACTGTCCATCTATCTATCCTGTCGTAGTTGCCGCGCCGTCGTCAGCTCTATCTATCTATCTAGTACTAGTCATCGTCTTTGAAACCAACAGGCACGAGCACCGGGGTCTCTCCTGCGCCCTCCTCCTCTTCCTCTTCTTCGACGTTCTCGTCCGCCTTCGCCACCCCGCTGCTCAGGGTTAGCCCGAGCTGATCCTTGGGTAGAGCGTCGCCACCGCCACCGCCACCGCCACCGCTGGCCGGCTTCTCCAGAGCGAACGCCTCAAGCGCCTCCAGGAAGTCGTCAACCTTTTCGTGCTCGCCCAGCACCTTCTCCATCGTCGCGGGCGTGAGCTCGCCCCGGTCGCCGCCGCCGTAGTTCGAAGCGGGCCTCCTTCTCAGCGCGACGGCCTCGTCGCTGAAGACGTCCTGGAGGCGTTTCTTCTGCTCGTCGGTGAGGCTCTCGCTCTCCTCGGGGAAGAAGTGCTTGGTCATTGCCAGCGCCGCGTCGTACCTTTTTTCGTTTCGGGTACACGAGGGGGGGGGGGGAGGGGAGGTGAGCTTGTGTGTGGCATGGTACGCGCTGAACTAATCGGGATAGAGCCGGGACGGATGAATTACTTCCGGTGTTTGCTGTTTGCACCGACAAAAGAGCTTAAATGACGGCAGAGAACAACCAATACCATCTTCGCAGCGGCGGCGGCGGTTTGACTAACACGGGAGATTTTGAAGAAGGGTTTCGGCCTAGAGAGTGGCCTGCCCATCACCACTTTCACCCACCGCATGTATCCGAGAAGAATCTTCTGATCGACGCGCCCGGGCCGGATGAGAGCGGGGTCCAAGCAGTCGACGATGTTGGTGGTCACCACAACGAGCCTGCCGGGCGTGTCCACGACCCCGTCCAGAACGTTCAGGAGACCCTGGCAACGCGTCCGATGTTTTATTGTTTAGTTTTGGCCATATGTTTTGTTGATTGTTGTTGGCCAATTATGTCTACTATCGTTGCTGTCCTTGCGTAAACACCAAGTCTAGGATTCGGGAGGAACGCGTGTTTCTTTCGAAGAAACCTGTAGCGCGTGTGTGCGCGGCAATTACTTCATTGCGCGGGGGACACATGGTTGAAGGGGAGCATCACAGCGCAGTTCCAAGGGTGGTGAACAAACAAACGCCGGAGAGGGATCTTTAAAAAGGCGGCATTCCCGACTCACCATGAACCCGAGCTTGCAGCGATGTGGTGTCAACCCCCAACCTCCGGAAAACTGTCAAGAGGGAACAACGCCATCACTGACCCACAAAGAAACCGAGCTGGCAGCAATCAATGTGTTCAACTCCAAACCCCTGTAATACTGTCAAAAGAGGTATAGTACATGGATGCCGCCTACACGGCACTCCCGATCGATCAGTGGCGGCTCACCGAGAGGTCGAGCTTGTCGTACGCGTCCGCGTACTCCTCGCTGTCGTCGCCCTTGCTGCAGCTTCTGCTGCTGCTGCTGCTGCTGTCGTCGTTATTGATGATGCTCTGCCTGGCCTTGACGATCTTGGACGCCGCGTCTACGTCCTCGAACACGTAGATCACGTTCTCGTGCTTGAGCGGGACCGGCAGCTCTTGCGTGGCCACGCGGAACGATTGGTCGAACATGACGTTCATCAGGTCCTGTCGGGGTTTTATTGGTGGTCAATTTTGATTCGGACTTTTAGTTGGACAAAGGTCGGGACCGCGATCGATATCTCTGGCTGATTGGTTCGGCGAGATACAGCAGTACAAGTTGGTTGGATCCTAACACAGACTCGATCAATCAACGGGGACGACCGCTGAACTGTAGAAGGTAATCATTTTTCACACATCGACCCTAGGAAGAAAAATACCACGGGAAAACGGTGGGCCTATTCTTGCGCCGCAACCCGAGAGACATGCACCGGAAACCTTACCGTTTTTCGTCACTCCTTCGAAAGGCACATGTCCACCGGCACTTCTTCGGGCAGACAAGCAAAGAAACCACCGAGTAGGTTGGTCTGCGATCGCACCCCACCACACCACAAAGAATATCTGAGCTACAGTACATGCATATAGTACATAGAGAGACGATCGTCCTTCCGCCTACCCGCGCCCTTGCTGCCCCGCCCCTGCCTGCAACTCCAACCACCGTGCCTCCTCCAATTCACCTCATTGGTTTTGATCCGCCCCAGGGGAACCTGGATGATGTGCCTCCCTGTCCGGCACGCTAGTGCCTTGATGAGGCTCGTCTTTCCGGTGCCGGGGGGGCCGTGGAGGAGAAAACCGAGCTTGTGCGGGTAGCCCCTGATGGCGTATCTGCCCCTCTTGGCCTCGAAGTTCTCCAGCGCCCTGAGCAGTTGTTCCTTCTCCGGGAAGAAGAGGGAGTCGAAGTCCTTCACGTCGCCCAGCTTGTAGCGCTTGTAGCTGATGATGCGTGGAGCGTATTTGTTACAAGTATTGTTTGTGCGAGGACAATTATAATTGGGGTGTTGGCGTTGGCGGGTACATGATGGTGGTGGTGTTGATGTTACTGACGATTGGTTTGATGGCTTGAATGAGAGGGCGATGTCGTGGGCGCTACTCGTTGTTGTTGGTTCGCCCGACGGAGAAGAGAGGTCCACGTTCCTGTTCTGTCGGTGACGTTATCCGGTGTGCACGCTCAACCCTAACGTTCGACAGTCAGTCCCTTTTGAACCGTAATCCTTGTCTCGTGTTTCTCGCCTTTTTCCGGGTTCACATTTTCTTGTGGGGGGTTCTCTCTCGTCCGTGAACAGACCAGTCACCGATCACACTCACACGTTCAAGCTGAAATGCGCTTGAGTTCATCTCATGGTGTGTTCGACTTCGATGCGTGCGGAGAAGCAAGCAAAACACGACCAACCAAGAGAAAAAACCCGCCCACGTAATTCTTGCTCCCCCCCCCCCATTCTCATCATTGCAATCTCCACATCTACCTGGCGCTTTCACACACAACACATTCCACCCGTATCTGCGCACCACGGTATCGAGAATCGCCCCATGAGGCGGGTCGACCTAAGCCGTAGCCAAACGTAATTATGACCGCATATCGTGATTCGATTGGAGAATGCGGAGGGGGGAGGGGGGGGGGTCCGAGGAAAACGCCGAAGGGGTCGCAAACATGCGTTCACGATGATGGAACAGACTAAAGTTGTTGATCGTCGGGCACACGACTAGATTAAGACGTGGCCCACCGTACTCCAACAACACACACTTAGCAACAACAACCGGCACGATCTACATCCAGCTTACATGATGGGAGAGGAATCCTCCTTCTTCACGGGATGACCCTCCACATTTACCATGCCGTCGGGGTATCTGGCCGACGCTCCCTTCTTCTTCGGCGGTTCCTTGGCGGCCACCAGACTGTACCTGAAAACAGGAGAAGTCGTTTCGATCCAAACACACACGTATGTTTTGTTGGAGGTTTGGATGTCTTGTTGTCTCGCTTTCGCTGGGTTGTGAAGTCAGCCCTCTGTCCACCTGTGATTTAGATCGTCATTCGAATCACCTCCCCGAACGAGGTGCTCCGATAGTTTGCTTTTTGTCGTATTGCTTTCGTTCAGATTTTGGCTCCAACTTTGCTGCTGTTTTCGTGTTTGCGTGTGCGTGCTTTGAGTCGACTCTGTACGTTGATTGTGGAGATGGCAGCATAAGAAACATATTTGGGGCTCTTGTTTCTTCTCTCTCACTCGCATGGATGGGAGGTATATTAGCATTTCTTATTCCCTTTCTGCTCGACATTCCCGAACAGACCATTCCAGGTATTCCATCACCAATGTCTTGACAAAACAGTTTAGAGTGTCGGGTCTCCCCCATGTTACTGTTCCCAAGTCATCTTCCGAACCGAAGATAGATACCGTTGTGTTCTCATGGTGCTAAATGTCGTTTTATGACTTGTAAACGTGATCAACGAGTGGTCAAACTTCCATCAGTCCGGCACCCAGACGGACCGCATCATGACCGTTGCCCATGCACCACATACATCTTTTGTGAGTTACGCATGGCGACGTCCAGAGCGTGGGTGATACTTGTCACCAACAAGAGACGCTCTGTCACATTTGGACATCGCCACGGCTAGACATATCCTTAGTGCCTCCTCTGAATTATCCCCCCCCCCCGGTAATTGCCATCGGGGTTGGGTTTTCGTCGCTTTGCAACGACCTAGTAAAGCAAGCCTCCCCCTCGGTGTTTGCCACCGGGATTGGGTTTTCGTCGCTTGGCAACGACGTTGTACAACAAGCCATTTCACCTCGTGAACTCGGCAACCGTTTTTTTTACCTCTGTTTTTTTTTTGGCGGTAACCATAATGGTGGTCGAGTAGATCATGTTGTACGGGGTGGAGAACCCTCACTCCGCGCAAGGGGGATAATCGCACCACGTTGTGTTAAAATGGTCAAGCATCCTCGAGGCAGTTACACAGTGCTTACAACTGTCTCTGGAAGTGAAAGCACCAGAAAATAAATTAAGTCATACGCAGTTGTCATCCGTACGCAAGGAAGCAAGCACAAGATGCCGAACACCCTAAGCAGGATGCAGCGCACCCTTCATGCGACTCGCCGAATACCTCACGGCGCTTCGCGCTTGGTGATGTGAGAGCCTGGTCCGGTGAGAACCCGGCATGCTCCGCCCCGGCTTTGTAGAGATGCGAGGTCAATGGTGTAACGACTACGGCATGCACGACTATGAGTACCCCCCCCCCCCCCCCCCAATTTGGCCGAAATGGGCATAAAAACGCTGAATTATCCCGGGGACAATTTGTTTTTTGTATTTTTTTATGATCTCCCCCCTGCCGTAGACATATCCCCGGGGACGTATTTTTTCTGCGCATAAAAAACGTGTCCCCGGGGGATTTTTGCTCATAGAAAACGCGTCCCTGGGGGAGGAGTGCATGGAAATCGGTTGGTGTGTTCTGTTGAATGCCGTCGGAATAAGGTCCGAGGTTCACGGGCTCCGTCCGCGCGTTTAGCAATAAGGTATCATGATGGTACAAACATCGCTTTTCGAAATCGGTGCAACCGAACCAGAGTTCTTGTTGTTCGTAGATGGTGTTTTGACCAGACATCGTGAAGCAGATGAGGTGAGGTAGTTGTGTGTGTGAGGTAGTTGTGTGTGTGCGTGTGTTTCCGGTAGATTTCCCCGGGGCAACTTGTGCCCGTTTTTTTTTTTTTTTTGAACGTGTCCCCCTTACCGTAGAGATACCCCCGGGGATATCGTTGTGGGCAAAAAAGATAGTGTCCCCCGGGAACAAGTCAGAGGATATTCCGGGATGTGACAAGGACGAGTCTTCCTTTGTAGCATGGGAAAAATTATGACATTGTCTTTAAGTTATCCTCTCTCGTAGGGCAGTTCAGCAAGAAGAAAACGACTCCTGGTGAATAAGTTGAGTGCCAATGTGTGCCTCGAATGACGTGTATGTACCTAGACACTCCCCGCGTATCTGCTCCTTATTCACGTACGACGTGTCCACGTGTGTACATCGTCCTGTTCATGGAACTCGACCTTGTTTGTCCCCACATGCCCATTGGCCCACTGCACCATCTGGGCTTGCTTTTGTTTTGACTCACATGTATCTCGCGTTGTCTTCTGTGGACTCCATTTCTTTGGTGTACCAAGCGTACGCATTGGTGATGAAGTTCTTCACCTTCTCCTGTCCCTCCGGCCCGGCGCACCGGAAGGTGTAGTCGACAATCGTCGGTGGGGCCCTGCGGGAGGAGCTCTTGGACGACGCCTCTGTCTCGGGGAGCTTTTCGACGTCCTTCGTCTAGAGAGACAGACAGAGAGACAGAGAAGGGGGGGGGGGGAGAGAGAACGAGACAAGAAGGGAAGATCACAAAAATGAGGCGCAGCTGGTGCCCGCGGAACGGGGACAACGCAGCAAAGAAATGGCTTGGTTGGTTGGTTGATTTCCGGCTTCAAAGGTGACGTATTCCGGAGCATATTTGTTTCCAATCCAAACGCGACGTTTAACGCCATGCCATGTACGTGCACGAGGTATGTATGTGGTTTCCCTTCGCTCCTTCGCATCCCCTGCGGTGTGTAGTAGTAGCGATTGAGCAACGTGCGGGCAGGACGTCCGCAAGTGTTGTTGCACTGCTTGCAGAGATGGGCTAGGCTGTACTTGTATATGATGGAGAAAACATAAAGTGGATGCCGCGAGCGAGGTGAGCGTCCCCTGTTCCCGTTTGTACCTATCGTGTTCAGGGTGTCGGCGCGTGTACTATGCTATCACGCTCACGGGCTCTTGTCGAGAGCGTGTTGCACAAAGGAGTGACTCAAGTTTCTTGATTAACGATTAACGAGTGAGAGACATGGGCATGCAAGCAGAGCCTACGCGTCAACTCCATCACACCCATCATGTACAATATTTATCTGCGTAACCCCCGGAGATCTTGGAGATTAGTATCCTGCCGAGTGCACACACAAACAGCCCCCCTACTCGACCTCCCCAACAACAAAAATAGCGAGAATTGCGTCTTCCGGCCAAACGTTCAGGATGGGTGGGCCTGAGTAAATTCTGAAAGGCTAACCAACATGTATGTGTATGCATACTCAAGAAAAACCCGCTCTGAGATTTGACGGGCAGCACCTGCTTAAACCAGACGCCGTTCTCCTTGTCCACTTCCACCCAGATTTGCTCCGGGGGCGCGATGTTGATGCTGAAGCGTTTCAGCTGGTCGGCGGAGCCACCGTACACCTGTGGCGTTACGAGTACAAGAACCGACCACGGTGAGAGAGAGGGAGAAGGAGAGAGAGAGAGAGACAAATGACAGATGCCCCAAGATTAGACTCATGCCTGGATTGTGCTCGAGTGAAGAGACAAGCCGGGACGAGAGCGACAATTATCAAATACATGCGTACGGCAGGCATTGCCAGATCCACCTCGAGACTTATCACACCGGAACATGGAGGAGCAAACAATCTGGTGTGTTGTTGCCCTTTTTGACTGCCGAGATGAAAGCGCTGCACAGATAGACCATGTCGTATCTGTATTGACAACCCATAGATCTTTATCGACTGGAAACACTCGCGCTATTCCTGCCCCTGCTGCCCTATTCACCCGTGTGTTTGTACCGCCTGGGCCAGGCTACCACCAGCAACAATATCAAACGCCCGTGCGTTTCGTTGCCTAGAGGAGGAAACACCCATGGCAGTCAACATATTCTGCTAACAACAAGGGCCGCTCACAACAAAAGGCACAGAATACGTCACACTGACTGGTGGTTTATTGAAGCAGCAGCCGCGGGGGAGGAAGCAGAAGCGGCAGAAGACACACTCTCATTGACGTAATGGACAGAGCGAGCTGATTGACCCCATTGAGGTCGGGAACAACGATACCAGCGGGGTCATCCACCGTGGAATTTGTATGCACGTTTCTTGGACGAACGGGAACAGCTGAACCACGAGCAGGTCCCCGGTTTGACGGACAAGTGGCCCAACTGACCTTAGGCACCGGCCTCCTGTATCTATGAACGCCATCCCCCTTGGTCGCGGCGGGCTTCTGCTTGACAGCGGTCAAAAAGGCCAGAGATCTCCTGTAGTGGAGATCCAGCTGTTGTCTCCAACCAACAATGAAGGGCGGTCGCGACAGAAGAACGAAAGGAGGAGACAGAAGGGCGTTTGGTGAGAATTCCACGTGAACCCTCGCTACTTTGCCTCTTTTAGCATGATAGAGAATTATGTCTTGTCCGGTGCCCCGGTACTACTCTTCACGCTCAAAGGTCCACCAAGAATACCAACAAAAGAACTGCAGTGCCGCCTTTGACGAGTGCTGGCGGTGGAAAGAACGGCATACCAGGCACATGTCGTCTCTGTCTCTCCATCAACACACAAAAGAAGGTTGTGTGAAAAGAAGGAATCGACAAACAGACGTTCGGGCGATGTGATACCCTTCATGGAGGGGATTTCCACAGTCAGTCGTGAAGACAAGAAGGACAAAGAACAGAACGCGCCCCACGAAGGCTCCACCCTCTTTTGTCCACACATGCGACTGTGCATTACATTATTTGCTAGACTATTGGTACTCTTATTGAATCGAACGACACGACTCACGTGTCCGATGTAGAGCAGGATGGCCTTCTGCAGGATGTTGTTCTTTTTCCCTTCCTGGGAGTCCTCGACCGCCTCTGGTTGCCCGTAGTAAAAGCTCTCGCGGTCCTAGCGGCGGCAGCGGGGACGGCGGGCGTCCACAAGAACATGGTGAGCCTCAGAACTAGACTATAAGCCTCGCAGACACGTCCAAACGTGCACGCAGACTGTCCGCTCTCTACCCCCCCCCCCCCAGCGAGTTCTATCGTCAAAAGACTTCAACATGCATGATCATGAGCAACCCCCCACTCCCTCCAACGCGAAAACAAGGGGACCACGGTCGAAGAATGCAAGCGTGCGGCGGCGTTGCGTTTCGATTTTCGATTCGCTGGAGAGGAGACTCTACGGCCTGTCGGCTTTCTCGTGGAGTTACGTTTCTAATGATCGACTCACCACCCACCCTCCTGCATTCCTCTGCCCCGTTTACACTACTCACGAGACTACTTACTCACCGGTTTCTGGAACCTGATGGTCGTCTCGTAGGTGTTCCCCAGCCTGTAGAAGAAGGTGATGCCGCTGGCTTGCATGTGCTGCTGGATGTGGTGCCAGTTAGCCCTGACTAGGGGGATGCCCGCGATGAAGACGGTGTATACGGCGGCCGTGGCGACCGCGTCCTTCCAGGCATCGCCCGAAAGTCTCTTCGTGAGGCTTCCCTGGTACAACATCACCACCATGCATGACGATGACATGTGTTTAGTTCATCAGTGATGACGCTGATTGATATCGTGGCGTTTGTTTTCTCTTCTTCGCTTGTCTTTTATCTGCCGCTGGTGTACCTCGTAAGGAAGAGTACAGGGTTTGTACACTGGTATGTCGATGTTTCTGGCTCACCCCCGGCCAGGCTTACTTTGACTACTATATAGCAAAAACGAGCACCGAGGGGCGTGGAGGATGCGCTTGTGTGTGTGGCAGCCCACAAAAACTCACGACAAAACCTACCGAGATTCTGTACATGAATAACCGTAAGATATCGACTGTCTATGTGCATGCTGCCAAGCTAGCTGTGTTGTTGCCCCAAGGCTCTGGTCTCGCGCGGAGATTGTTACGAACAAGAGTCTCAGAGCATCTCTACGGGCGGTCCTGACAATTGTGGCGCCCAGTTGTGAAGTAAGAAATGAACATATCCGGCACGCTCCACAGCCCCCCGAAAAGCAAAAGTGACACTTCTTTTCCTTCGTTGCTCCCCTGTGGATCGACACCACAGAGGAAATACAGCAGTACGTGTTACCTATGAACCGTGCTCTACGGGCAGGTGTCTAGGTACCTATCTACATAAAACTATTATTGAAGATACCACCCCACCCGCCCAACGGACCCGCCACCAACAGCATGTAGGCAACGAGCTTTTACTCAATTCCCAAAATCCTGGCTGGATTTCGAACGGTCAAGCCGTAGACGCATTAGTCGGCTTCGGAACTTCTCTCTCTCTCTCTCTCTCTCTCTCTCTCTCTCTCTCTCTCTCTCTCTCTCTCTCTCTCTCTCTCTCTCTCTCTCTCTCTCTTTCGCTCGCTCGCTCTCTCTCTGCTTTGAAATGGGGGTCAAAGGGGTGGTGGTATGTCGCGGGGTCCGCACACAGATCGATTTGTCCGCAATTTACGTTGGTTGTCCTGTTCGGGGGCAGCGGGAGTATCGGAGGACAGCTCGAGCCACGCAGCCTGACAATCTACAAGCGCTGCACAACGAGAGTGCCAAGCGGGCCACACGCGTTGAATGTGTATCAGTCGCTCGCGCAGCATCACAAACAGCTTGGCTGGTTGCAGAAGGGGCGCACTCGCCGGTAGGAACTATGCATCCATCAGCTTCGTTACAAATGCATGCGGCAATAAAAGGTAGAGGACACAACACTACATGTTACTCATATGAACGATATAACACAACAGCAAACCACGTGACTCGAGCCTCACATGCATGCGGTTGCCCTCCAGCTTCATCAACGTATTGATGAATTCCATATTCACGACACACGAGTGAGAACTGCGCGTATTGTACTGCTGTATAGTACAGGCCGATGCCGTATGCGCAACCCGAATCTCGACGCAGATCAACCTTGCTGTGCTCTTGCAGGAGGTGCGCTGGTAGCTTTGTGTCTCGTGGAGAGGCCTCTTGTACAAAGCTGTTCGGTGCGCGGTGCTCAGCAGGAAGACTTGCCTGGCCACTTGCAAAGCGACCTGCTGTTGTTCTGCCCGTAGAGGAGGCAAGCTTGGTTTGTGGTCCTGTGATGCGCAGCGGCAACCTGGCGGCAGAACGTGAAGAAAAGCAGGAATGGTCCGGAGACTGTTGAGAACCGAAGCCGGACCCCCACCGACCGACGGAAGGTTTCTGTGGTTGGACCAACGGACCAACGGAAACTCTCTTCTACAGAGAGAGGTGCTGTGAGCGTGAGCAGAGATCGGAACGGGTTTTCGTGTGTGATAGACTATACCCAAAACTTTGATGGCACCGACTAGAGAGCGACCGTCCCAATAATGCGGCAGAGCGGAGCCGAGAGGGATGGACTGCTGCTGTGGTTTTTTGAGCGAGTCGTTCGCCATTGTTGCCCGCCGCCAACCTGGAGCAAGCACAGCAGTTTCACTCTCTTTACCTGTTGTTATTTTATTTTATTCAATTTTATTTTGTTTTATTTTCTTAGTATCACCCAACGAATCCATCTCTATCTTTCGATGGAAAACGACAAGTGCATACTTATGTATCACATATATTTAACCATTTGAAATAATACTGTTTGGCAACACAGACAGACAGGTACCACCGCCGTGGTTGTTACAAACAAAGCCCCCGCCGCCCCCCCAACAAATTTCAACACGCCCATCCATGTTGACACGCCCGGAAAATAGTCTACTACTGTACTCGTCCAGGTATTGCGGAGTTCTATCTACTGTACGTCATTACACTCAAATCTCATCTCACAATGAACGGTGTTTATCGTCGTCGTGGCAGTCGATGCCACATACATCCGAGGTGAAATCCCACTATTATTATACCACCGTCCAGTGAACATGCATACATACATACTGCCTAGCGCGGGCAGCAGGACATCGCAACGTTCGCGTCGCACACCCACACCCACACCACATAATAGCAGCATCCTCAGGTACAACGAAAATGGTCACCCTCCTCTTCGAACTATCTATCTCTTCGAAAAGCGGCGGGCAACCTGCGCGAACATTATACACATATATATATAGCTGACTATCTTTTGGGTCAGTCTACGTGAGGGGGGGGGGGGCTTCGACTATGGTCATTCCGCGGTTGAAGCGTAAAGGACAGGAATGGCTGCGTACGACGCAGTTAGTTGTGATGCTGCGGGTGACCCCCCTCCCTCCCAAGTCCCCCCAGGGTCAACTCGATCGATGACAAGGGGGTGGGTGGGGACTTGTTTTCGATCTCCTCTCTGAACCTCGACCCCCGGGGCCAACCAGCAATCAATGCATTCTGGTGACGAAAGGAAACTCTGGTACCGGACAAGATGTGCCTTGAAAAATAGGGAGGAGCACAACCCACATCACACCGAACTGTCGGAAGGTTGCCCCGGCGGGAGGGTTTTAACTAATGGCGTGAAAACAGGACCTTCCACGGCAAACTCGGCGATAGGGGGGGGGGGGGGGGGTACTCAAAGTCGTGCATGCCGTCGTCGTTAGACCATTGACCTCGCATCCCTACAAAGCCGGGACGGAGCACGCCGGGTTCTCACCGGACCAGCCTCTCACATCACCAAGCAGGGATTCGGCGAGTCGCATGAAGGGTGCGCTGCATCCTGCTAAGGGTGTTCGGCATCTTCTTACTTCCTTGCGTACGGATGACAGCTGCGTGTGACTTGATTTATTTTCTGGTGCTCTCACTTCCAGAGACAGTTAGTTGTAAGCACTGTGTAACTGCCTCGAGGATGCTTGACCATTTTAACACAACGTGGTGCGATCATCCCCCTTGCGCGGAGTGAGGGCTCCCGACCCCGCACAACACAATCTACTCGACCACCATTCATGACTCTGCGAGATAGGGGGGAGAGCTTTCGCATTATCTCTGAACCGCAGCAACATGTGTTTTTATGAGTTCCATCCCAGAACAAAGAACGGTCAGCGAACCCCAGTGCTGAAATGACCAAAGACAGATGCGCGAGACACTTAACAGCTCACAGAAATACTCACGACGGGTGGGCGTATGTTGACATGGGTGTAAAACCCCTTCGCCACCACCACGGTCCGCTTGATTGACTAAACAAAAGAGAGAGCCCAAAAAGGAGGCCAAGTTAGCCTACTACTACTACTGTGTCCCAACTACTGCTGCTGTGCCTCGATCCCTTGCCGTATCATCCATGTCGAATGGAACCAACCCTCCCTGTGTTCAATCCGTCAACCAACCAATTTCCAAACTCCGCGCTCCCCTGTCGACTATTATCACATCACGGGCTGTAGATCTCACGCAGATTCCTCGGAAAGCGCGCAAGTCCCCTTCTAGCCCACGACAAGAAAGCTGAAAATTCGCCAAAAATCAAACAGCCTAACCCCAATCAAATTCAAAATTTACCACCAGTACCTTAGGCACCCAGCCTCCCCTTCGATGACTTCTCCCCTCATGTAGGCGTTCAAAACAATCTCGGTTAACTCAGCCTTGGGAGCTAAAACAAGTTGGGTGCGTCGCAGTACTCAGTGGATTCATCACCCCAAATACACCAAAAAGCCCAACGATCCTATACCACTATCATTTATGATCGTTACCTCAATTCGCCACCCGTACACATAACACACGGAGAGACGCTATTATAGTTTCATACGGTACGTCTACACAAGAAAACAATGTGTGTACGAGGGGACCACCCCCGCCTCCCATACACAAAAAGTGCTGAATAATTTACATGGAACATAGATCACCGACCACAAAATGAGAACAATATCGCATTTCCTCCTCATCTTGGTCCGTAAAGCCCGTTGAAGAACTCTTCACTTCACTTCGCCTCTCCCTTCCCCTACGCTTTGCTTTGGTGCCCGTTCACAGAAAGCCCACTACTCCGAAAAGGTGCCTCGCTCGCCCGCGTAGGACCCCACCACCAGCCCACAAATACGTCCCTCACCCACACGACCACCATCATCCTTCCTTTCACGCACAAACGACGACACATGCACACACAAACCAAACACACCTTGCCTGCCGTACGCGCAACCTTACAGTTCTATTGCGCCAATCGCGACAATGCTTCATGCAGGCAATGGTTCCATTGATCCCCATCGCAACAACATAGAGGGACGAAAAGACTCTTGAACCGTTTAGATTCTCGCTGATGTTTTATGTACGAAACGTTGTGCTGTGTATCCCCCCAGTCATTTTGAGCTAGTAGATAAAACGCAGCAAAATCAATAACAACTAGACTAACTACTTTTAAAGGCAAGAGGAGGTCGCAGAGGGGAGGTCATCCTCAGGACCATCGGTCACTCGGGCGTCGTATGCTCGTCACAGGATAAATAACGAAGTAACACGTGCAAAACGTGGTCGGAGCGCCCGGTGAAACTCGCGCACAGCGCACGCAGCAACAGAACATTTGGCAACAAACACACGCTCGGCAGCGCAGAGGCATACAACCACCACCACCACCACCACCACCCCCGTCCCAGAGACTTTTCCACCCCCCCTCACAGGGGATCCCCCAGCCTCTCCAGAGCATCGAGGAAGTCGTCCACCTTGTCGTGCTCGCCCAGCATCTGCTCCACGGTGGCGGGCGTCAGCTGGCCCCCGTCGGCGCCGCCTCCGCGCTTGGACGTCCTCTTGCACCGCACCGCGGCGGCCTCGTCGCTGAAGACGTCCTGGAGGCGTTTCTTCTGCTCGTCGGTAATGCTTTCGCTCTCCTCGGGAAAGAAGTGCTTGGTCATCGCCAGAGCCGCGTCGTACCTTTTTTCGTTGCGGGTTGGAGGAGGGGGGAGGGGGGTAAGTTTGGCGATTAGTGTGTCGGAATCAGGTGTACACATATCATCTCTCTCTCTCTGTCTCGATTTTCTCCGTACCCAAAGTGTACCAACGCCGAAAGGGGGTGGGGTGCCTGTATGTGTAAGGAACAAGTGTTTTTTTTTTCACACGTGAAGCTCAAGGAGCACGGTGAACGGGGGGGCGAAGGCAGTCAGGGAGGGGAGTGGCACGTCGATGATGGACACGTTTTTTTTTTTACACGTGAAGCTCAAGGAGCACGATCACAACGGGGGGGCGAAACTAGTCAAGGAGGGGAGTGGCACGTTGATGATGGACAGTCACCAACCTTCGATGGCGCATCGCTCCTAAGGGCACAAGGCGCATCGCCTAGAGCTGGCGTGACCCCCGATGGTGCCTTAAACAACGCGCCTACGGAGGATGGGACACGAGGTCCAGCCCTAAACCTTGCGCACTCCAACACCCCCACCGAAACGTCGGCAGCAATCAACTCAACAACAAATAAAACATGGGTTTTGTTACAGTTGTTCCGGCTTTCTTTGAAAACGACAAAAAACCTTGTCACAAATTTTCACCTCTTGTTTACAGGTGGTTGGTTCTCTGGCATATGACTCATGTGACTCATGTGACTCATGTGACTCATATGACTCACTTCATGTATCCCAGAAGAATTGTCTTGTCGATGCGGCCGGGGCGGATCAGAGCGCGATCGAGCACGTCCACCAAGTTTGTCGTGAGGACGACGATTCTCCCGGGGGTGTCCACCACCCCGTCCAAAACATTCAGGAGACCCTGTAGCGTCGTTGTAGGGAATCGCGGCGATGTTCAGTCTCGGGGTTTTTGCCCATATTTGTTTTTCCCGGTCGTCGCGCGACTTGTTGCGGGCGTTGCGAATCTAGTGAGGCGGCCGTTAGATGGGAGTCGTTACGCAACTTGAGGTTTCGTCGCTTTGATGAATTCGCGCCCGCATTGTAACGGGGTGGAGAAAGAGACCGTCGTTATTGCCTTCGGTCACATTCTTTTCAACACACGGGGTGGGGTGGATGTTTGTCATTTCATCTGCGTTCACATTGTTGATGTGTAGGAGGTTCGTCTTCTTCTTCGCTTTGTTGACGGGGGGCGCCCAACAACAATGCGCAGACCACGGCTCTACATCCCTGCGTACGCGTAGTACATACATTGCGAGATTGTTTCCTCGAGGTCGGTAACGCAGAATACAATTGACCGCGGACTTCCGCCGCAACCAGCCAAAACCGACTCACCGACAGGTCGAGCTTGTCGTACTTGTTGGCGTACTTCACCCGGGCGGTCTTCCTCTCCCTCCTGTTGTTGATGTTGTTGTTGTTGCTAGGGCCCACGGCCTGCTTCGTGTCCCTCTCCTCGTCACTGCTGTCCTCGTCGTCATCACTGCTGCCCTCGTCATCCGTTGTACTATCATCATCACCGTCGTCTCCTCTGCCGCCTTTCTCCTCCTCCTCCTCCACCACCACCTCCTCCTCCTGCTTCTTCTTCTTCTTCTTCTCCCCGCCCCAACCCCGGACGTCAGCCGCGTCGGTGCTACCCTCGCCCCCTCTCCCCCCGGCCCCAGCCGCGGCCTCCCCCTCCTTGACCTCCCCCTCGGCCACCGCCGCCACCACCACCATGTCCTCCCCGCTCGTGGAAGGGGACGACAGCAGCGATGACGGCGCCGTCTTGGCGTTGTCGGACGTCGAGGGGCTCTGGGTGAGGGGCGGCGACATGGCGGGAAGGCTGCTCGGGGCTGGTGCCGTGTTCGGGACATCCACCGCCTGAGGGTGGTTGTGTGTTCGGTTTTTCGCGGGGGCGGCGGGCGGTGTTTTTTCCTTAGGGAGAGCGAGAGAGGAAATAGACATGCAACAAGTCTTGGGTGAAAAAAATTCAGTCAGAGCTTTAGAGACCGGGGGGTACACGGAAGGTACAACTGCTGTGTGTGATAAATGGCTACAGAGGTGAACCACGTCGAGAAAGAGTAGTGCGGGTGCTACGGAATGGATGTGGGTGCGTCCATTTGGGCGCACAATTGGACGACGCACGGAAGGTAGCTGCAAGGAGGTAGCGGGCGCGTGACATGATCCGTTCCAAGTGTGCGAAGACGGTAGGAAAATGAAGGAGAGTAGGCACCGCCAGCACAGAGAGAGACGCAAGGCGACAAACAACGGGCTGCGGAGAGCGTACACGACCAGCCAAAGCAGGAAGAAAGGAGCGAGAAAACACCTGAAACGAGATTTCAACCACTCTACCTACCAATAGGTACAACATTGTGCTACGCGCACCGCTTTTTTTTATCCCGTCCACCTATTTATGTAGATTGTGCTGACCTTTGACTCCGCGGTGCCGGCGTTGATGCTACTTCCCTTGCTCTCGGCCTTGTCCACGGTCTTCCCCTTCCCCTTGCTCTTGCCCTTCCCCTTGCCCTTGTCCCTCTTGGTCTGGCCCACCTTGCCGACGCTAGATTTGGCACCACCGGTCCTGCCGCTGCTGCCGCGGCCGCCGGTTTTGCCGCGGCCGTTCTTGCTGCCGCCGGCGCCGGCGCTACCACCCTTTAGAGGACGAACGAAACGCTTGCTCGCGTCGTTGTTGCAACTGATCGTGTCGTTGGTGTCCCTGGCTTTGACGATCTTGGAGGCTGCGTCTACGTCCTCGAACACGAAGATGACGTTGTCGTGCGTGAGCGAAATCGGCAGGTCTTGCTTCGCGACGGGGAAGGACTCGTCGAGCATGATGTTCATTAGGTCCTGTGGTCGGGTAGTCGGGTTGTCCACGCGCGCAGACACCAAGAACAAGGGGCACCGGTGACGGCTACGGCAAAAAGCGAGATGGTTCGGTTGTCCTTCTAGCAAAGTTAGCACGCACGGCAGTTTCACCCGTAGCAGTGGTCGCACCTCCCTCCGCCTAAAGCCTTTATTACCCAGGCAAAAGTCGATCGGCTTCGAGCACGAACAAAAACCACGAAAAAAAAACAATCAAAGTGCATCACGAAGATATGAAAAAGTCTCACAGTCGATAGATAGACACCTTGACAAAACGCCCACGCACTCCCTGTTCTACTCCGCCCTTGCACCCTCTTACCCATATCTCTCAACCCAACCCTTTCCCCTCCCCGCCCCCTCGACCGCCCACGACACCACACCCCACATCACCCCACCTGATTGGTGTTGACCCGCCCAAGGGGAACCTGGATGATGTGCCTCCCCGTCCGGCACGCGAGTGCCTTGATAAGACTCGTCTTTCCGGTGCCGGGGGGGCCGTGGAGGAGAAGACCGAGCTTGTGTGGGTAGCCCCTGATGGCGTACCTGCCCCTCTTGGCCTCGAAGTTCTCCAGCGCCCTGAGCAGCTTTTCCTTCTCCGGGAAGAAGAGGGAGTCGAAGTCCTTCACGTCGCCCAGCCGGTAGCGCTTGTACCTGATGTCGTTTCCATACACCCCGATCAAAGGGACACGCGATTGAGCGCGTGCGGTGGTTCGAGATTTTTTTTGGGGTTTTGGTGCTGTAGTGCCTGCTGCTGTTGTTGCTCATGGCGAGGACGATGGGCGCATGAGGGGGGTTAGGTTGATGATGTCGAGGGACGGAAGGTTATATAGCAGAGGCACGCGCGTTGTGTGCGTATGGAAGTACGTCATGAGCTTTCGGAAGGTGCCAACAACGGCTACAACCAACCGTGCAACGACAAAGTCGCCAGGATTGGGCCCCTCGCCGCAAGCGTATACCCCTACCCCCCCCTTTTCCCGGAAATTCCATCTCCGCTCCCTTCCTCTACCCTCCTACCCTGGCAAGCTGGCAAACACCCTCACAAGTCTGTGGCCTGTTGACCTGTCCCTCGTCGCTACGGTTGTCCGTCCCGCTTCGAAGGGAGTTGGGGGTGTGTGGTCAGCGGTCAACCGGCGCAAGGGGCCCCAACCAACGAACTACCTCGTCTGGTTCGCACTTACTTGAGGATCGTCTTTCTCTCTTCTCTCTCTTCTCTCTCTCTCTCTCTCCCTCTCTCTCACACACACACGAACTCGTTAGCGCCAGACAGCCCACCGCACCACACTGCTGCACACCCGCGTACCTGAGGGGGGATGGGTCGAGAGGGCTCCTCCCGCGCCCGTCGCCGTTCATCCCGGGAAATTCGACGCCGCCAATGCCGAGCCTCGACCTGGCCGGCTCGGGTTGGGCGATCAGGCTGTACCTATGCACGTGGAGCGTTCATTTTTTGTTCGCAAGGAAAGATGAGGAAGAAGAACGATTGAAGCGTTCAATTGGTTCCAATTGACGGATTCAATGTGGTTGGCAGGGGTATGGATCGTCCAGTGCGCTCTGACGCAGAATTACCGTATACGTGTTTACAATTAACGGCAAAACAAATCTGCGTGCACACACCCTTATCTCTCTCGGAGTCCGCAAGCAGATGGATGGATAGATCGAGCGGCTCGTGCGGTTTGACAGCTTGGCAGATGACTAAAACCAAGCCATTAACACGCCGCGTTCATACCTATTCAACATTATGTACCATGCACAAATAATATCTACTACAGTAGACTATGCATGGACCTGGACGCCACGGCAACGGTGGCACCAGACATCGCGCCTGCAGTCCCTCTCTGCCCCATGCCGCTATCCATGAGAATTGAGTACGCCCCCCTCCCCCACGCTACTGGAACGCTGCTCCGTCGTGAACAAAGGGTTCGGGGCAAATGATCAAACGACCAACGCAAGCGTAAACGCGCTCTCCCCCCTCCACCTCCTCTCGAGAGTTCGGCCTCACATGTATCGGGAGTGGTCTTCGGTTGACTTCATCTCGTCCGTGTACCACTCGTAGGCCCTCTGGATGAAGTCCTTGACTTTGGCGTTTCCCCCCTGCCTATCGCACCGGAAGTCGTACTCGATGGTCGTGACCGTGTCCCGATCGGGGCTCGAACCGTCTCTGCCGCCCCCTCCGGAGTGCACGGCCTTTGCCTGGGCCGGGCGAGGAAGAGAGCAAGGGGGCACAGGAAGGAGGGGGGAAGAACGGGGGGGGGGGGGGGGGGGGGGTTTTTGTTA